TACCATCGATTAGAGCTTGGTCCTGTTCCGTTGGTTCGTCAAGCTGTTCAAATGAAGGTTGGACTTCAACGTCAGTGACCGGAGCATCGATATCTTCGTCGTAGTCGTCTTCTAGCATCTCTGCTTCATAATCCCGATCGGACCCGTACTGCATTTCGATGTTGTATCCTTCGTCGGCGAAAGCGTCTTCCGCATCATCCATCGTCCGCTCCGCTATATCATCGGTCATATCTGCATCGCGAGCTCCCTCTAGGTCATGATCAACTGCGTTTGATGGCTCCGGAAAGTCGTCCGCTATCATCATGTCCTTATCTGTTGTCGAAGCCTGGTCTTCCATGATGTCGATATCGATGTCGAAATCGTCGACGTGTCCCTGATATGGAGATGCCATTTCCATTTTGTCCTCAGCCATAGTAGCCTCCATTGTGAAATAAGCCAGCGAAGAGGCAGCTGTCATGGCATGAAATAAGCCGAAGGTTGGGAGACGCGTGCAAAATTTGGCGTGGCGATGAAGGTACGCCTGACGAGCAGCCCAAGCGCAAACCGTATGACTGGCTTTGGCTACTAGACGAGGTATCCGCCGAACCTTCAGAGTCAGACCGGGGAGTCCGTCACTAAGAGAGTACTCAGCTCTGTCGACAGTGAGCAACAGAGCAATGAATCTGGGGTGAGTTGAGGATGTCCTACTACGGGGTTGCAAGCGGACGAAGCCTCTTGTGCTGCGGTAAGCGAGGGGGTAGCGCGGGCGCACGGGCCAACGGGGACAAAGAGAACAGCAAGCGACTCCGACCTCCGTGGCTTCGACGTCTAGACACGCCTAACAAGAACACTCGTCATCTGCACTTCCCGGAGCAGTTTGTTGAAGGTCTCGCAGTCAATTTGTGCCGAACAGTGAATTGTCAATCTACAAAATGGTAACTTTTCATTAGCATGAGTCAATTTGACCCAGCCTCCACTGCTAACCTGGCACAACACTAGGTCGTCCTCGCAGCGTCGATATGCACCCGCGGGGGCAAGGCAGTCCTTTCGCGTCAATTCAGAGAAATCGCTCGTTCCAGAATTGAAGCTCTCCTCGCATCCTTCCCTAAGCTAGCTGACTCTGGAACACAACATACGACCGTGGAGCAAGATAATGTCCGCTTCGTCTACCAGCCCCTGGATGAGCTATACATTGTTCTGATCACAAACCGCCAATCCAATATTCTGCAAGATATCGACAGCCTTCACCTTTTCGCCCAAGTCACCACCAGTATCTGTAAGAGCTTGGATGAAAGAGAGATTGTGCGCAATGCGTTCGAATTGCTCAGTGCGTACGACGAGCTGGTGACGCTAGGATACAGAGAGAATCTATCACTTTCTCAGATCAAGACCTTTCTGGAGATGGAGAGTCACGAGGAGAGAATTCAGGAGATCATTGAGCGGGTACGACTCAGCAAAATGGCTTCGAGACGACGGTTGCTAACTTTCCCTGTCAGAACAAAGAATTGGAGGCCAGCGAGGAGCGCAAGAGGAAGGCCAAGCAGCTGGAAATGCAACGAAAGGAGGCCGCCCGGAGCGGTCGTTCTATGGCGCCTCGGACTCCATCTTACCCTGTGTATACGCCTCCATCCCGCCCTGCTGTGCCCGAAACATATGACACCTACGAGGCAGAGAAGAAGAAGACCTTCGCTAAGTATGTCATATACTTCCCTTCCCACCCTAACCGACCCCTTGTATTTCACGCCCCAATTCATATCGCTGCTGACACTTCCGGCTCCCATCGGTAGACCATTACCTGTCCGTGGCAAGGGTATGCAGCTCGGCAAGAAGTCGAAAACTACTGATATCTACGAGAAAGTCCGTGGTGACTTGGGCCCCGAGGCAGAGGAGGCCACCCCACTGGTGACCCCGCAGGCATCGACTCCCGTTGCCGACACAGTGTCTTCTGCTCGGGCGTCGCTGTCTGGCGATCGTGAACCCGTTCATGTGACAATTGCCGAAACTATCTCCGCTACACTTACCCGGGAAGGAGCCCTTAGATCGTTTGAAGTCAAGGGTGATTTACAGCTTCGCATTACCGATCCCTCTTTCACCAAAGTCAGACTCGACCTCCTTGCAATCCCCACGCATGGCGCGCAGTTCCGCACCCATCCAAATGTTGACAAGGCTGTTTTCACAAATGACTCCGCTATCCAGCTGAAAGATATCACTAAGCGATTCCCAGCCAACAACTCGATTGGTGTTTTGCGCTGGCGTGTCGCTAGCTCTGGGTCTGACAACGCTGAAATACTTCCTATCACTTTTACCGTGTGGGTCAACAAGGGCTCTGATTCGACTACAGTCACGGTTGAGTACGAACTCACTGGCTCTGACACCCTCCGGGACGTTGTTGTTACCATCCCCTATCAGACGGCCGAGCCCGCGGTGTCTAGCTTCGACGCGGTGTATGAAGTATCTGGCGACAGTCTTGACTGGAACATTGGCACGGTGGATGAGAGCAACGCATCCGGAAGCTTTGAGTTCGAGTCGAGTGGTGATGGCGATGAAAATGAATTCTTCCCAATGAGCGTACGCTTCTCCAAGACCAGCCCTTTTGTGGAAGTCGATGTCAACGAGGTCTCTCTCTTGGAGATGGAAGGAGAGAGCACCGCGTTCACCAAGGATATCAAGTGTGTTGCGGAAGGATTTGTTATTGAGTGATCTTTCTACTTCAGTCGGGTGTATAGAGTATTAATGACGTTCGGACTTGCCCTTATTTTCTATTCTTAAGAGACTTTGCAATATTTCTGCTTGCTTTTCTTCTAACCAGGGTTTCTTTCTTCTCAATTCTGCAATTCAAGCCTGACTTTTGAATCATACCACTCATATCACTCGCACCTTACCAGACTGTTCCGGATGCTCAAACCCGTCTACGTGTCAAGGCTGGATAGAAGCCACTCTACCAGGTCTAGGGCTGGCTGAGGACTAGGCTCGGCGATTGCTGTGTGTCTCGACCATGGATAGATGCAGCGAACGTTATTGCTCGACAAACTCTGGGTTCATGAAGATCATCGGAGACGCATTGTAGTAACATCTCCGCTTCTCTGTGGGTGTGTGCTGAAGTCACCAATTACCTGCCCACCGAACCTGATGAGCTGGCTATAAGTTCCAGCCAAACCAGGCAAGTCAGATGTGATCCACAAGCAGCGGAAGTTTAAATGACCTTTCTTCGATCGGCTTTGCCTGACTCCGTTTCAGGTACTATGCAGGTTTTCTCGTTGAAACCCGGTAAACACCTGAGCTTCTGAAGCACTCCCGTGACTATTAACTCCGTCATTTCACAGACTTGAGCCATGGAAGATCAAATAAATTAGCCAAGCATGAGGTCAGGATGCTTTCGGTAAGGTCGAAACAGCTTTCTGAATGGCCATCTTTGACTCAGGGATCCACCCAGCGTGCCATGACAAACACAGTCACTGCATAAGGTTGTGGGCAACTTCCATGGAGACTGAGGCCACTGTACCTAGGTGCGCTCATGGGAAACTTGAAGGTTAAATGCCTAGCTTCAATAGTGTCAGGCAACAAGTAATTAAGCGTCCAGCGGCTCATGGCTCATCAGTGAGTTGTGGCGAGATATAGATCACGCATGAAGAGAGAATGTTCACTGCAACCTAAAATCTGGCTCCTGGGAGACTTTTTCTCATCCGCCATTTCAATGGATTTGTGACTCAAAATCTTTGGTGGAGAACAATACGTTTCCCCAGCGATCCCAGTGCAGTCTGCTGCCTGTGTGTAAGTAAGTGGAATGATTCACAAAGCTTTAGCAGGCTAACGTCGGAGATCACATGCTAATAGACAGATACAATTACTTGACCGTCTCCATAAGCATATGAGTTCAGAAATGGTTGAGAGAGTTTCCATTAGGCTACTAGACCGCTCCAACCCATGGTTCGCTTCCTATACTTCGGGTGCGCGCTTCTTCTCATGGCCGAGAAAACAGCGATGTTTGTATTCCACCTCTGCTCTCAAGGAAGATGGAGACTCGGTCTCGCCCAGCTCATCTTCATTTGTCAGAGGTTGATATTCCCCTCAATGCCAATGCACGCAAGAGTCTAAGAGTCTACCAACAGTGGAAGGGGATGGCAGGGTTACATTTTACGATTAAACCCCGCATAAGCTATCTCACCAGAACCGATGCTGGAGAGTTTACCGGCGGTGAGCCAACTCAGGATTCAAGAGGTGTGTGTGTACCTTTCTTTTCTGGCTCATTTCACATGTTGGTTCTGGGTCCGCTACAGCCAGACCACAGATGGGCGCTTGACGAGCTTTGAATCATAAGGAGTCGAATTAGGTAATACCAGATAGAAGATACTGCACGGTGAGGCGGCCAGTCCAGGGTCGAGACACATCTCAGACAAACTACATACAGAATTGGGTTACGCATCCACCGAGTCATGAGAGAGGTATTTATCCCATTTTCACTCTTTCACTCTCTTTTTCCGCAGAATAAACTCAGTGGAAATCAGTCAGGAACACTCATCCAAGACTTCTCCACCCTCCGCCCCCTCCTCTCCATTGACGCTGAATTCAAATCCAAAACGTTCTCCAACCACGGCAGTGCCTTCCATTTGTAAGTCTCCTCCGACTCAAGGGGTCAGGGTCGACCAGATGACATCAACATGAGCCACAATCTTCTTCTCAAGGCGTACCAAAGTATAAGATTCATGGATAATATAGAACCCATCCCTATCGATACCACAATCGACAAACCTGATCATCAACATGCAGGTTCTTCTCTTCTCACAACCTCACGTATCCCCATGATGCAGATATCCAACTGGACAACTCAATCAGCGTCAGCGTTGTTTCAAGTCGCTGCGCCTGAAGCAAAAGGGCACAGCCATGGAGTAAGCTAATAATGACACCCAACTCAATGCACTCATTTCGAACATGCTAAAACTTTTCCTCTTTCGCTTTGGCTCCAGGATAACCCGATCCCCCCTCTGCTAAGGCCCAGTAGGGACCTTTCCGGTATCAGAAAGATGGCCATCCCGAGGTTAGCTGAAGGAAAAGAAGCAGTCCATTCCGCTCGGTCTCACCGTCGCCACGTAAGTCGAGCGTGCGAATCTTGTAGGCAGAGAAAGACAAAATGCACGGGAGACAGGTCAGGCTGCCGCAACTGCCGGGATGCCGGGATGATCTGTTGCTACACTGACGGAAAAAGAGAGAAGTCTAAAAGGTGCGTCAAACCTGAGCACTGAGCACACTCGGAGCCTGAGAATTGACGCTGATTGTCACGAATGAAGACAAATGGCCGGCTTGGAAACTAAGATCAATGCCTACAAAGACATTTTGCAAAGATTAAGCATTCGTTATCGCATGACTGAAGACCAGCTGATCGGACTCGCTCTGGCAGTGGTACGCTCAATGACCTCTTCTGTTTAATTTCTGCTTAGGGCCCTTGCTGATTCTCATCCAGGAAGACCCGTCCGATTGCGCCTCCTCCCATGACGATTCTGCGACTCCGAACACCGAGGCCCGGAGGCAGTTGTCGGTATCCGAAGCCATTACACCTTTGTTTTCAGGGTTTGAGAACAACCTAGATCGCATAGAGGAGGATTTAAATCGGGACGAGGCTTCGCAAGCGACTGGTTTTGTCGGCCAGAGCTCAGAGATCTCTTGGCTACAGACTCTGGCCAGAGAACTGGAACTTGGCTATGATCATGGATACTTCAGTGGGAAGGGACCATCCCCAGCAATAGCAGCAGCCCACCACAATCGCTGCATCTCATTTCCGAACTACCATTTAGACGCCATGGAGATCCCTATATATGACAACGTGGATCCATATTCCTGCCCCGCCAAGGATGTTGCAACGAAGCTTTACAAGACATACCTTGATTGGGTTCACCCCTCGTTTCCGATTATCGGTACTACCCCTTTTGGGACACAATTCCAGGCTTTCTTCACAAACTCATCCTTACGCCCTGGGTCCCTACGCCCTGGGAATCGCTGGCTAGCAATACTCAACCTGATCTTCGCCCTTGCTACTAAGTACGCGCATTTATCCGAGGCTGAATGGCAAATGGATAAGGACGCTCATCTTGTGTACTTTCTCAAGGCCAAAGCTTTGGGTCTAGATCATCAGCTACTGACTTTCCCTGATCTACAGCAGCTGCAGGTTGAAGGACTAACTGCTTTGTATATGCTGACGCTAGGCCATGTGAACCGGTCCGTGTGCTCAATCCATCCATGCTCTGTTCTACTGCTCACACACAGCTAACAATGTATGTCAGCGCTTGGGCATTTTGTGGAAGCGCGATCCGCGGGTCTCTAGGCCTTGGGTTGCATCTACGCCATCTTGGAGACAGCACATCCAATACTTCAAGAGAAATCAGATGCCGTGTATGGTGGGCTCTATATACGCTTGATCTTCGGCTCAGTGTGATGACTGGGAGACCCTCTTTTATCCCCGACAGCCTGTGTACGACACCTCTGCCCCTTCCATTCGATGAGCAAGACTTTGGGAGGGAAGATGTGATGCGGCAGCTTAGGCGCTCGATTGACGGTAGCCCCTGTCCGACGGAAGTGCTGTCAACGGACCAGTCGGATTTGAATGCAATGAGCACGGTGGCCGAAAAGCTGGATTCAGAAGAGGATAGATTCTCACCCTGCGGGTCCTTGTACTTTGTTCATTTGGTGCAACTAACCATGATTGCAAAAGAATCCCTAACCAAGATCTACACCCCGAGCACAGTTCGATCTCCTTGGCAAAGCATTGAGTTCGCCATACACAGCCTCACACATAAACTTGACACATGGCTAAACAATCTCCCCAACGAGTACGATTTCACCCGCACCCAGTCATCGCATGTATCGCTGGAAACGTCAAATCAGAGGCTTAGTCTGGCTCTATTGTTTTACAGCACCAGAATGGGCATCACACGACCATGTCTTCGTCGTGTAGAGTCCTTTAGCGAAGGGGACAAGATGCAAGAGTTCAGTCAGGAAATTGCTGCGGAGTGCGTTGAATCAGCTTGTCACATGTTAAGACTGTTCCCAGAAGAGCTGAAAGCTGCAACGCTATATACAGCGTCACCTTGGTGGTGCTTATTGCATTACTTGATGCAAGCAACGGCGGTACTCGCTCTTGAGCTCGCCTTTCAAGCTCAGCATGTACCGGATAAAGCGCCGATGGTTTCGAAAGCTCTTAATAAAGCGTATGAGTGGCTGTCTTTGATGTCAAGGACACAAAAGACTCCGGAAAGAGCCCGCAGACTCTGTGATCGGCTTTTGCGCCAACTCAAACAACGGGAGGACATCAAAGTCTCTGAGTCTCCTTCTGTCCAGTTGACCAGTCTCGAGTCGCCTGCAGATACACCCCCCATCTCACATCCGATTAGAACAACAAGAGAAAGCTCGGCGGACTCAGACAGTCCACCTCTTGGGACGAAATTGGACTATCAGCAATCACCGGCCTTATTGACCGGCGATATTCATTACCCGTCCCCACACCTCCTGGGAGCGGCAGACGACCTTCCAATTCAAAGTGAGAGCACATTGGAAATTCCGAGCAATTACGATGAGTTCTTTCCTTACGACACAAGTACTGGTCAGCTCACGGGCTCCTTCTTCCCTACAGAGTATGGAATGGATGTGGAACCGAGTAATCTCTACCACTTTTGACAATCCACTCGAGTATTCAACATCAGTGCAAGGCACAAACTCAGAGTGGGGGACTTCTGATAGGCATGCTTGAAGACTGTCCCATCAGCACAATCCTTATCCTTATTCATTCATCAGCATCATAAAGGTGGAAACTGTGTGTGTCTGTGCGCAAGCCGATCATTTCTAATTGGAAATGATACAAATCAATCTTTAGCGACTTTTCAGACTAGGTGAGGTAATTCTATCAAAGGCTGTCACCATGCAGGGCGAGGTCCATGGTGACTAACTACATCTCCGAGTTGGGGTTGAAAGCTCTTCTACTTACCGAGAATAAGCATCATCATCATCAAAGAGAGTCTGCAAGGCTATACATGTAAGAGGTAGATAGGTCTTATCGTAGCTGGGCATCAATATTTCGATCCCCGTGCCTATATTCAAGCCTCGACCTATGCACTGTGGCAATAAAGTTTTCAGGCCCATGACAGTAGCAGACGTGGTGAGTATAAGATGTTACTTTTTCTTCTTGCGAGTATCGATGCTCCCATTGTTAATAAGTCATGGTGCCTGCTTAGTAATTCGGATACATAAGTTAGTTAACCAATCCCACTCATATAATAGCGGAGCTTGTTCATGTCCTTTCGCATTCATCACATTTTGCTTCTTGATAACAAACATTATTGGTTTTGCAGCTGTCCAGTGACATGAGCTATGAGCTATAGCTTCTGATGGAGTCTGTCTCTTGTTGTACAGTTACTAATATTTTTACATAGCATCCTGTGTTGTCGGTTAATATTGATAGCACTACTACCTCTAACCGGCTTTACAACTATCTGCTTCTACCGCAGATAAAAAGCACACTCGCTTTGATGACCCGTGAGATCCACAACAAGATTGGCTTGGAAGGAGACTTCCATTGTAAAACACTTTTCAGGCTGTGGTACCGAGCACGCAGTTCATTGGCATGGATCTGAATGACTCCTCCGCCTCGGTTGAGGCATCCACACGATATGCTCCAGATAACCCGTCGCTGCAAAACTCCAGGAGAGTCAAACAGCCTCTTGATGGATCTTCGGGTACTCTCCTGGAGCATAATGATCCTCTGCCCTCCAATCGGAGCTCTTCGGGCATCAAGGTCATCCTTTCAACGGGGGACATAACCATTGAGCACCTGGACCCCGAAACAGTGGCTGCCTCTCCATCCAGAGCTGTGGTCCATCGTTGGCGAGTGTCCAGCAGTGATATCATGCGCAGCAGCCCCTACTTTAGGGCTCTCTTGGATCCGCACAAGTTCGCGGAGGGCAAGAGCCTGATGCACCAAAAGATCCAAACCCAGCAACTGGCCTCCGAATCTGCGGTTGGGAGCCTAGACCCTCCCGATAGCGAGCAGGCCTGGAACACGGATGAATTACCGGTTGTTCAACTTCCAAGCGATCATTTTTCCTCGCGTCTCGGAACGGATGTCATTGAGCTCTTTCTCGAGGTTCTGTCCTACGACTCATATGATGACGACCAACAGCGGGCGTTTGACGCCAGACTCAGAGTGCAGCCTGTGTCCCTTGTCTCGAGATTGGTGGAACTAGCCGATGCTTTCAACTCACCACAGGCCGTTCAGAAAGCTCTGACACAGTCAGGTTATGCTTTTGGCAAGGGAAAGGTCCCTCTCACCAAGTTCGATGCAGCCTCTCTGTTGAAGCTGCCCGAGGATCGGATCCGCCAGACAATATTCGTGGCTCGATTCCTCAATGAGTACGCCATTGTTCAGGTGTACACCCATACCCTCGTCGTGATGGGGTCGAGATATTGGTCGAATGGCGTCGTTGAAGCTCCTGGAAATCCCACGTTTCCCTGGCGATATCTCGCTGGAGGAATAGAAGGTCAGACATCAACATCTAAACAAGCACATAGCTTGTCCAAGAAGCAAATCACGTTACTGATCGACAGATCCAGAGGAACTTTACTTTCGCCGACAATGCGTCCTCAACACGATAACCGACCTGCAAGCCCACTTCCTCCGTGCCTACGGAGCTCTCGAAGACGCGACAGACGACGCCTACCCTTCCGCCGCAGCAACAACAACATCCACATCTGCAGCCACGACAACCACGACAACAACCCCCCAACCCAGACCCCCGTTCTCCCTGCCTGCCACCTCTACCACCATTCACCCCCGCCACTTCCAATGCCGCTACGGCTTCGCCAACTCCAGCGCCTGCGACGTCTTCCATCTAGGCCAAATGACGCGCTTCTTCGCCTTACGCACCAAGACCATCTTCCTCGGCTCCACTCTCATTGACGACCCGGATTTTCTTCTCCCGCTGGATGATGAAGACCACGATAACGAAGAAGCTGATGACGATGATGCGAACCTCGCAGCCGATCACCCACCAACTCCCATCCCACAACAACAACAACACCAAACAAATATAGCCACACTCCTCGCCTCCCTCAAACAGTGCCCGGACTACCAGATCGACACCAACCACACGGGCTGCGGCATCCGTCGCCGCTTCCTGCCGCCCCTGGACTGCATCGAGCGATTCGTCGGCGACGCCCGCGGCCTGCTGGGCGTAAATCCAGCGCCACCGTCATCGTCATCGACATCAACCTCCTCCTCGCAGGGTAGTGGCTGGGCCGCGACGACGCGGTGGACCGTGACTCCCGGGTCGTGGGCGAACCGGTCCCGCCCGCGCGCGTTGGTGCTAGATGTGCATTTGTCGCGGATCAATGCCATTCCCGTGCTGGCGCGTGGCGGTGGGAGGAAGGTCGAGCGAGGGGTCCGGGTGGGCAGTTCGCAGGAGGAGAATGCGAGGTTGCTGTTTACGGCGCGGAGGAGGAATTGGGAGACTTGACTTCTTCTTTCGCCCTCGAGTTCTGCTCCCCACTTCTCCGCTTGATATACTCGGCGACGACAAACGGTTATCTCTGTGGGGTTCATGGTTTGGACTGTGGAATTTGGGTTATGTTTTAATAGAACGATTGCGGGAAAGGAAAGGGATGTTGGCGACTTGCGCCTGCCCACTTTTGGGATATATGGTTGGGGGATCACGTCTTGGATAGGTGTACCTCAATGCACTACTAAGTTGGGACACAAGGCAGGGACCCTGCAACGATGTATATACTCCTGGAATAGAAGCTGAGAAACCAAAGTTAGAGAATCAATAACATAATAACATGAATATCTGAAGCAGGCAGACTAGCAGCACAGACCAAGAATTGCCCAGATCCAATGCGCCGGTCTCGCCCTTTCTCTGTGCGCTGAGATACATATAAATCTACTTCTCTTGAGTGTTCAACTTTTTGATTGAGGTCCTTCAAGGAATAGCTTTTGTGGGCATTGCGCCAGACCACCCAAATGACGACCAAATTTGACGTCTGGTCGGCCTGTTAGCCGACCAAGTCAATCACCTGCCCGCCAAACACTACCAATGATCCCTGATCTCGCAGAAGCTAAGTCTCACCTTGATCCTGATCCTACATATGCCGATTTTGTACCGACATCCACAAGATTGATAGTACATCTTATTCGTCTATTGTAACATGTGACTGATTTCGGATAGATAGGTCTGATAGATAGGTGATTATGCTTCTGGTAATGTGCCACAGGATAAATGCAAAGGAAAGACCGGTAACAGCATGATTTTCAGGGCGCTCAACTCCATAATCCATAGGTGCGATAGTGATGCCAACAAGAGAAGTGATGGTGGTAATGTATGTATAAGGACGAGAAGTGAAGGAAAGGTAGATTATTTGGTAAATGTCCAGGAGAAAGATATGTGAAGTGGAACACGGAATTGGTAATGAAAATTGTGGAAACAGCATGGTGGAGTGTACGCCCTCAAGGCAGAACAACCAAAGGAATGTGCAATATTTGGTAGCTCTTATCTGTATCTGCCTTCAGCTGCAGGTTGCCACGTTCCTGGGCGGTTGTTTCGCGAAGCTGCAGTGCTTTACCAGTGATCTGAAACAATTTGGAGGCTAGCGGGTTGAGGGAGTCCAAAGGGAGTGGTGGTTCAGGCATGGGAATGCCATTCTGCTGGTGCTCTTCTTCTTCGTCTTCGTCAACCTCATCCAGCCCCTGACCACTCACTACACTGAGGCGACGGGAGATAGGCGACACCAAAGCAAAATGAGGGACCGCTTCGTCATCATCTGACGAGTATGGACTCAGTTGCTGCTGCTCTTCACCGTAGCCGGAGACGCCCGCACCAAACAAGTCCTTTCTTTGAGAGACCAGGTGCCACGGCTCTCCACACACGAATCCAGCCACGAAATCTTGATTGGCGCGGGCAGCAGCCACGCAACTTTGGCGGTAATCATTGGTGAAGGAACTGGCCGTGGAGGATGGTAGACACAAGACTAACCCACGAGCCATGAGTGGTGGGGGCGGGAAGTCCTCAGGGATGGTCGCGGGGCTCAAGGACCGGAATTCAAAACCACGTCGCTCGTATTGCGGAGATTCCAAAGGTAGCTCGGTGGAGTCTTCGGTGTGTTGAGTGATGGTTTGAGTCAAGGAGATGGTGGAAGCTTTGCGAGGAGGAAGGTCGAGGCCGCTAGTGTTGTCAACGGCGTACTCGGAGAGGTGCTGCGATGTCGCATTTGCGTCATGGTCGCTGAAAGAGTGATGGTTGGCGTTATTGTCTGCTGTGATTTCGGTACGAATGGTCTGAGCTGCATCTGCTACTGCCTCGCGGGCGGCCGCCTTCAAAGTGGGAATCAGAATGTCGGCTTCCTGGTTATACACAGCCACGCCGGAGGCCCACGCTGTCGAAAGGCCAGCCCACGAGGCCGGCTTGATGATACCCTTCGTATACTTCTTGCGAATCATATCAACAGTCTCATTCCGCACCTCTCTCGTTTCTGCTTTCTGTCCACCAACAATGTCCACTGTGGAATTTAAGATCCGACCGCCCTCCCAGATCAGGAAGCCATGTCTCCTCGCTAGGGCAACCAATTGGCGAACCGTCTCCTCCGACCAGTCATCAATGATGTCTGCATAGACTTGTAGAATAGCAATATGCGGGCCAACTAAAGTGGCTAGGTGCAGGAGAGTGTCGGTGTTGGTGACGGTATGCGAAGGCGAGACGCAGACGGGAAGTCCGTAAGGCAGATATGACTTAGATTTGACCAAGGTCTCCAGATAGGCGACGATCCGATTGCCCGGATATGAAGGAGAATCCAGCGACGAGTCCATCATTGCTGGTGAGCACTGTTGCAGAGGAGTTTGGAGGGAGAGAAGAAAGGTGTTTTGGTTGTGTTGTACTGTACGAGAAGGGGAAGTGACGGTGTGGATATGATATATAGACAGCACACAACAGAAGAGACGGATAGATCAACCGTCAACAGACAGTCAGTCAGTCAGTCACAAGTAAATCAATTGGGTCGTACAGGAGGGCGGAGACGGGGTAAGAAAGAGAATGAAGGGGAGGAGAAGGAGGAGGAGGGGAGGGGAGGGGAGAGAATGACAGGACGGGGAGAAGAGGAGGAGGAGGAGGAATAGGTAAGGTTAAGTTGGTGGTGCCTTTGTTTTTTATTTTTTATTTTTCGCCTTGCCTTGAACTTTCAGTCAGGCTCAGGGAGCTGGGCCAACTTCCGGAGTCGTCGTAGCTTGGTTGTTCCCGTTGAGCTACGGAAGAAGAGCTTCGGGGCTAAAGTGACTCCAACCCACTCGAGTCCCTTGACTGGTCGACTTGGTCGAGACAAAATGATTGACAATCGAGTCCCATCCCCACTTGGCCTGCCAATGACCAGACTAGTAGTCACTCGACATGATCAGTCGACAGGGGTTGGGAAGGACCTTTTTTTGTTCGCTCTTGATTTTCTCTATTTTCTTTAATTTATTTGCTTTTTGTCCCTGGTCTGATCGGATAATGGCTCAGATCTCAAACCATTAACTTATGTTGTGGTGGTTGACAGAAACACAACAGCGCATCGGTAGGCAAAGGTACGACAAGAAGAAGATGAAAGAGACAGGGTGAAATTAAAGGCTGGACGGGCCATGCAGGAAGCCACAATCCCTCTCTCAGCTGCAGCCATGGATCTACTGCATGTACTTCGTACAGTATCTATGTACAGTACTATATACTATGTGCTATGTATACATGAATGGGTCAATGGATCAATGGGTGAATGGGTGAATGGGTGAATAAAGCCTGGAGGACTGGACTGAAGGAGTAGTACGTATGAATGGAGGAGGGGAGAGAGGGGAGAGAGGGGAGAAGTGGAGGATGGAGGGGAGAAAGAATGGAAAATGAGGGGATTGTCACCAGTCACCCCTCCGTACCGAGTACGTACTCGACTCGTACCTACAGTAGGTACCTCAGACTCAAGGCCCTTTTTTCCCGTTTGTCCGGTACCGGATGGTAGTAAGTTGGAGAGAAGCTTTCTTAGGTTTGGGCACCTGTGAAGATCCTAAAGAAGTACCGTACAGAGTGGTAGGTGAATTATACTAGTACCATGTCAAGTGTCACTTAATCACATTGAGATATTAGTATTGACTGATTTTTCTGAAGTCCTCTTTTTGACTTCTCAACCCTGATTCTCAAGTTAGCAATACACTACATAACTACAGTACACCTGTAGTCTAGCACATACGGTAAAGTGCAGTGGAGTCCTGCATTGCCCCATCATCACTGGGGGGGGGCCCAACCCGCTTTGTCGGAACGAGCGATCCGACTGGGTGGAAATAATAATGCGTCGCTACGATTTCCCATATCCAATCTCAATTTCTCTTCTCTCTCCAACCCCCAATACTTCAGGTTGCTTGTACTGACAACGGAGACCTACTGAGGCATCTGGACTCCCCCCCCCCCTACTCAGTAGGAGTCCTAGACTCCTCTTGGGCTTACTTTACCTTTTCCACTCATCGCTTGAGCCTGCAATCTCCCTCCAGCCTCTCTATCCTATATCATCACCCTCCACATCTCCCACACCACCCACCTCCTCTCATTTGCTCTCCGGGTGTCCCATGGACTGAATCCAACATCCCGCCCCATCGCCAACAATTTCCTTGGTTGAGCGTGAAGACTACTTGAGAAGTACCGTAGGACAATGATAGTCGATCGAAACTTGGTATCCACTGAGAAGACCTTACTCGGCCTACCCTACCTTGACATCCGGTCATCTGCGAGCAATTCTCTCTAGCTTCATCTTGGCGGTCGATCCTACCATACAACCCCGGGGAGCAGAGAGCCTCGTTCAAGTTGTCAACGAACAACCCATCATGACAGGGCAGGATCCATCTTTCCCGGAATCCAGGATTCCATGTCATACCCTTCCTGCTCCTCGACCTGGTAGAGCTCAGAGCCCCCAGTGCCCCATGATCCATCAACTGCCGGGATTCATTATGATGAGTCCTAGTGTCCTCGATCTGTCTGAGCGCTCTCTCTTCCAGTCAGACGCTTTGACATTTTCCAAGGCCATGGTGCAGGTTCCTGGACGAAACATGCATAGCCTTATAGATCCAACGCATGAAAGCGACCAGGATGCGCTCGCTCTATAGCCTAGTCCCTCGGCAATTTCGAACGCCTCAATATCGGATGGTTGACTAGCCTAATAATTCTGACGCCTAGTTCGTATGGTCCTTTCGTCGTCGGTCGGAAGCTGATGCTTACGGATACACTGGCCGAGACTGGTCCGGCGAACTGGGGCGAGGGGAGAGGCCTGTCGATCAGCCCATCTTCGGGATTGTTTCACGGATGCACCCCTACCCCCCCGTTCAAGGACGTAAGGATCAGGATAGTGAATTTCGCTGTTTGCTATCGCATTGCATCAAGCAGATAAACGACTTTCCGCGGGACAATATTCCGTATCTTCCATAGACTGTGTTACGCTACAGAGCTCGAGCGGTCGCTTCTTGTGCTCTGACCTCCGTAGGTACATGTAGTGTACTTTTTTGCGATCGCACCGCACCGTATCCGATAAGCTATAGGATCAGTCTAACGGTCCCAAATTAACACCACTCATTAGCTCCAGGTCATTCATACCGTTCGCTTTCGATGTTAATTTAGTTTCCGATGCTGTTCCGAATAAGGTAGATCATTGCTTCGTATTATTACATAGTACTATTTGAAAGGCGGGACCACTTGAAGACTAAACATTGAACAAGGAACATTGACTTTTGCTCTCCGCAATATGCACACTTTCAGGCCAGCTGCTAACTTATGTACAGCATTGTCTACGTAGACGGTAGTCGACGGCTGAGACGGCCCGCTGGCTGATGCTGGCTTAATGTTGTTGCCTCAGGCACAAGGATCAGGCTTAGAGCAGGGCACACTTCAGGGGCAGCGCCCGAAGGAGATTAGTGCCACCCTGCATTATTGTTCCCGACTTTGATTTGGGTCTGCCGGCGAGCGCTGGAATCTCCCTTCTCATACTCCGTTCCCTGTGAAAGAAACAAGAGCCAGTATCTTTCTTTCCAAATCCCGTCTTTCTCTACTCCGTTGCGATACGGTTCCGGTGTTGTATAGCTTTGTTGATTGCGTGGTTGTCGCCGCACTTGCCAGGACTCACCTTAAGGAATTTTTTCCCCCCCCGGAGTCTCGGACCCGTCGCCTTGGTCGATATTTTGACGCTCACGCCACTCACTTCACCGTCCTTTTATTATCGGCTCCCACCGCGATTCCCTGCTACTCGTCCAAAGGCATTCGTCGCATTTGCAGTGTCTGTGGTTACCCTTCCTCGCCCAATTGCAGCATCTTTGCCTCAGTCCTTTCGGGTATCAAGCTGTACATCCGCCATGCCTGGAAAGGTACTCCCCGTGTTCACCCCGGCCGAGATCGAACTCCATAACAACGCCAAGTCATGCTATGTGACGTTGGGATCCAAAGTCTACGATGTTACTGAGTTTGTGGACGGTCACCCCGGGGGTGAAGACCTCGTCCTTGAGTATGCCGGCAAAGACGTAACTGAAATCTTGCGCGACGAGTCCTCCCACGTCCACTCCGACTCGGCTTATGAAATACTGGAGGAGTGCCATATCGGCTTTGTGGCTTCTGAATTCAATGGGAAAGCTCGAACGGTTGATGCATCACAAACACTGCAAGTGGCGAATGGTTCTGGAGCAGTCTATGCCACGACCGGGATGTCCTGTGAAGAAGACCTGTCTGTCGATACAGACTATACCCAAGACTTCCAGACGCACAAGTTCCTCGACCTTAGCAAGCCCCTTCTCAAACAACTTTGGTTTAGTGGCTTCAGCAAAGAATTCTATCTTGAACAAATTCATCGCCCGCGTCACTACAAAGGAGGGGAGTCTGCGCCCTTGTTCGGCAACTTTCTGGAGCCACTCAGCAAGACCGCATGGTATGTCGTCCCCATCATGTGGCTCCCGCCTGTCGCCTACGGCACCTTTGTTGGGTTTTCGGGGCTTGCGAATGCGCCTGCTGCTGCTGGATACTGGGTCGGTGGGCTCTTTCTTTGGACTCTAATCGAGTATCTGATGCATCGATTTCTGTTCCACATTGATCAGTATGTCTATCCCAGTTGACACACGCTTATTTCTGTACATCCCCGCTAATTCATGCAGCTATCTTCCCGACAATCGTGTTGGACTGACTCTCCACTTCTTGCTCCACGGTATTCATCACTACTTGCCGATGGACAAGTATCGCTTGGTCATGCCCCCAACTCTTTTTGTTGTATTGGCAACGCCGTTCTGGAAGCTTGCTCATGCTGTCTTCTTCTACAATTGGTATGCTGCTTTGACAGTGTACTGTGGCGGTATCTTCGGCTATATCTGCTACGACATGACCCACTACTTCCTTCATCACCGCAAGTGAGTAGAACGACCTCCTTTCGTGACTTGGACCGTTTCGCTGATCATTCGCTTCTCTAGTCTTCCCATGTACTACAAGCAACTTAAAAAGTATCATCTTCAGCACCACTTTGCAGACTTTGACAATGGCTTTGGTGTCACCAGCCGCTTCTGGGATCAGGTGTTTGGCACGGAGCTGGAGACTCCCGCCCTCAAGGGTGCGAAGGCCCAGTGAATAAGCCAATGGTATACTCTAGAGTGGCTGGCCCTCTTCATGGGCCCTGACATGAGCTCATTGCGTCTTTTATTGATTCCGTGACATACGAAGTAATGCCGTGGTCGTGTGTTGTCCCTAATATCGCTGTGCTCAGGAGTTGGTTTACTTTCTCATCCTTTGTCACTCTGCTTCGTGTACAGGTTTGCCTTGGACCAGAGCAATGGAAAACGTCTTTTGTAAGGCGAGTGACCATGACTCGTAGGTCGACCGGCGGTGGTATTATTACATAGATTCTCACGATTGTATATGATAACCTAATACATAATGTCTCTCTTCAAATCTCATTTCCTCTGTCAATTCAGCCCAAATAGGCTTTAAGCACATTAAGGACATTCCTTAACACTTTTCACTATAACATGTCTCTTTCATGTCATCCATGGTTCACTCCAAACACAAAAAAGTCGAAAAGGGCGGCGAATGCCAAGCCTCACGTGACTGGCCGACATCAGCCAGCGGAACACCGATGAGTGACTTTGCCTCTCAACCTTATCATCCTCACCATTAACATCGCAAATTCAACCGTACTGCTTTCATGCGAGCTACAAACTCTCAGTGGCTCATAATTGACTGAAGTTCTATCGCACCAGAAGCAGGTCTCATCTGCAAGGATCGCTGGATACAAATAGAAGGCACCTATCACGCTTCTAACGAAAGCCGAAAGTGACCTTAATCCTTTCCGCACGGTCTTCCACTCTACCCAAACCGTTTTCTATCAGATCACGTCCAGGAAAAACACACTCGCAGAAAAGCCGAAAGTCCTTTACCTTCAAAATGTCAGGTCTCGACGTTGAAGCTCTTCTCGAGTCTACGGCTGCCCCGACGCCGCAAGAACAACCCCCGCGTTCCCAGGACCATGATGACCGCTCCACCAAGGGCGAGAGCAGTGAGCGTCGTGACCGCGACCGCTCGCGTGAGAACAAGGATCGCAAGCGGCGGGACCGAAGCCGCGGCGACCGACGTCGGTCGCGCGATGGAGACGGAGACGAAGAAATGAAGAGCCCGAGAAGCGAACATGGCAGTGCTAACGGAAGCCATAGAAGCAGAAAGAGGAGCAAGAGCCGGGACAGTGACCGCCGTCGCTCTCGCCGTGATCGAGACCGTCACGGCGATGATTACCGCTCCTCCGGTGGCGATTTCTACCGCGGTGGCGGTCGGGCTCGCACCCGGTCGAGATCCCCATATGATGATCGGTACTACCGTCCCTCTGGCCGCTCCCGTCATGACGACCGGGACGAGGACAGACGGCCTTCACGCCGCGAGCGAGAGGGTGGCCGCAGACGCAGCCCCAGCGCGAGAAGTCGTGAGCGTACGCCAGAACTCAACGAAGATGAACGTGATAGGCGCACTATCTTCGTGCAGCAGCTTGCCGCTCGACTGAGGACGAAAGAACTCATCGCCTTTTTTGAGAAGGTTGGTCCTGTCAAGGAGGCCCAGATTGTAAAGGATCGTGTTAGTGGGCGGTCCAAAGGGTAAGTCACGCCTCAGGTTTTGTGCGGACTAGGCAAGATGCTAACATCCACGCCTAATAGTGTCGGTTATGTCGAGTTCAAGAACGAAGACTCCGTTGCGCCTGCTATTCAGCTTACAGGACAGAAACTTCTAGGAATTCCGATCATCGCACAGTTGACTGAAGCGGAAAAGAACCGTCAGGCTCGCAATCCCGAAGCCAGCAGTAGCAACAACCACGCCGCCCCCTTTCACAGGTTGTACGTGGGTAATATCCATTTCAGTATCACTGAAAGTGACCTCCAGAATGTCTTTGAGCCGTTTGGTGAACTCGAGTTCGTTCAGTTGCAGAAGGACGAGACTGGTAGGAGCCGAGGTTATGGTTTCGTGCAGTAAGTGGCCCCAAACGATCCGAACAACCGGCTTGCTAACCCTTCTGCTCAGGTTCCGTGACCCTAATCAGGCTCGCGAAGCCCTCGAGAAGATGAATGGTTTTGATCTTGCTGGTCGAGCCATCCGCGTTGGCCTTGGCAACGATAAGTTCACCCCTGATTCGAACGCACAACGCATGCAGGGCCAAGGTGCAAACCAACATAACTTCCAGGGCTCGCTGTTTTCGGGTCACGGTGGACGTGGTGTTCAAGCTGGCGGTACAAACAACTTCGACCGTGCTGGAGGCCGGGATTCAGAAAAGGGTGCCGGTGCAAGTGCTCTGGATGACACAGATGTTGCCGGTGTGAACTTCAACAACTACAGTAGGGATGCATTGATGAGGAAGCTTGCAAGAACAGATGAACCCTCTGAGCCAGCTGCCGATGACCAGCAGAAAGTGCTCCGGCCAAAGACTGAAGCCAAGCCGCTGCCTGTTAATGTTAGCATGGCCAGTCGATGTGTTATGTTGCGCAACATGTTTGACCCCAATGAGTAAGTGCGAAAAGCCTAGCTTGTCGACCAGCCCGCTAACTCTATCTATAGGGAGGAGGGCGACGTCTGGGTGAAAGAGCTGGAGGATGACGTCCGCGCTGAGTGCGAAGAAAAATATGGTCATGTCGTTCACATTTCACTAGATCCCAACTCTCAAGGCGACATTTACCTGAAATTCGATCGAGTGCAGGGCGGGGAGAATGCTATCAAGGGTCTTAACGGACGCTTCTTCGGTGGCCGACAGATTACCGCGCAACCCGTCGTCGATGCTGTCTACAGCAGTTTGTTCTCCCGGACGAAGGCCATCTAAAAACCCCCCCCCTCGAGGCCACACATCTTCCATGCATATCTACCATCATTCAGATATGCGGGTAGGTACTTTGATCTAATAATTACACCAGGTGCAACTTGTGACGGCAGGTCCACACTTTCAACCTCACTTTCATCTCTGAAATGAAACTGTTGAGCTTCGCTTCGGAATGGTGCTTGGCTTGGAATGACACTGCCCCTGGTAGGTGCCAGTCTCTGAAAATCTTGCTTTTCACAGTTTATACTCCAAGCCAGAGGCTTGTTGCGGAAATGATTTTGTCTCTAGGGATTTGTATATTGCGTTAGCGCCCAACAAAATATGTAACTCTTATTCTTTGTCCAAGCCCACTTTGTAGATTCTGTCAGTGTAATGTCTAGAGCGCTGTAAGCGACGAGATAAAGCGCAAGAGTGTGTGCTCTAGAGGCACAGAATCTGGTGCGAGTCTATCATGGATAGATCGACAAAGCTCATATCATTGCGATTGTTTGCAGTGCCTACTATAACCACTATACTTCAATATGTATACAAAAATGGTAAATATATGATATAATAGAAAGAATGCAATTTAGAGATACGATATTGTTCTAATCATTCCATAGTTCAGTTATTTAGTTATGCTGGGTTGCTTAGTAAGCTAAAAGCAGCATAACTAAAAGCTGTTTGAAGTACAGTCTTAAGTAAAGAACATGATTCGAAATCCAAAAGCTCCTGTTCAATGGTGAGCAAGTAGATCATGATCATAGAGCTGCATCTGTTGAGCACTATTTGCAGCTCCTTGGGCCTCGAACTGAGGGAGGATCAACGTAGAAATGCATACTCAGTAACTCATAGCAATCCTGACGCGTTGCCGCTGCTGATTCCCGATAACTTCGAAGTTTCAATTCCCGAAACTCCCCCCCAGATGTTAATCCGCCCGCCCACTCGCTCCCCCATCATCCTTCCCCCGCGAATTCCGATTGCCCACCCATCTTTTTTTGACTTCAATCTCTTCTCCTCGTTCTCCAGTGTCATTCTCCAAGCATTTGTTCTTTGCTCTGGGCTGCCAATGCTCTGTCATTCATGATTGTGAATTCGGCCAAGCGAGTCTCTGTCCGAGCCCGGACTTTGGCCGACATTTGTCGTAGGTTGCGCTGTTCTCTCTTTCTGACCTCCCCGTCTTTTCCTTATCTCCGAATGGCAATTCACATCTTTCACAAAGCCGATGCCTCAGTGCCATTAATAACCATGTCTTCGCAAACTAACCTGCTCGTATACGTTCAGCTCTCCCTGGAGTCTCTCGCCGTCGATATTCGAGTCCATGTGTCTCTGTGACTGGGTCTAAGCGACCCGAATTTCACGACTACTTCGTCACTCGCCTGCCATCGTCATCTTTACACCCCGACCCTCGAGGCCCCCTCACCCCTTTCCATAAATTGCCTCGCGCCGCGTCGGTGCCTCATACGGGCGATTCGACCCATTCCCCTACCACTATTCAGCCTTTAGTCGATCGGGATACCACTGTCGTTCGCATTCCGCTTCGCAATGCGAAGCACCACTTTGGCGCCCACACATCACGGGGCACGCGGCCGTCCAACGAGGACACATATCAGGCCGGAGTCATTGACATTCCTGCGTTTGCGAAGCGGCCACCAGCATCCTTGACAATCAAGAAACTAGCCGCAGGTAATCCGGATTCTGCGCCCCGTGAAAACCGGGGTGCCGACAATGCGAATGGAGACCCCCAAGTTTTTTACTTTGGCATCTTCGACGGTCATGGCGGAACAGAATGTAGCAACTTTCTGAAAGACACTCTGCACGAGGCCATTCAAGATACTGCGGCCGCATTTGAGCTCCAATCCAGTCTGCGGCGTGGGCCTCAGGGGCAGATACCCAGAGGTGCGGACCCGTCCTCTGGGGAATTGCCGATCTTCCAAAGAGGCAATTGCGAACGCGCCGCCAAGCTTGAGAAGATTCTATTGCAGAACTGGAGGACTCTCGTTGGGGGCTATTTCAAGCGGTTCTCTCCCTCTCACTTTGCGCACACGCGCAGGGAGAGCTCTTCTGGTGTCACCATCGAGGAGATCTTGGAATACGCCTTTCTGCGAACTGATCTGGAATTCGTCTCGGCGCAAGCCGCCAAGCAGGATGACGATCCCGCGCGTGTCAGTCAACCCATGTATCAAGATGATATCTTGTACGGACCTGAGAACGGTCCGGCGCTGAGCGTCGGTGGTACCAATCGCTTCAAGGGCGGAAGCACAGCGAGTGTGGCCCTTATCTCCACCCCCACGCCAGCTCC